ATACAATAATATTTACATATATACATATTTTTTCAATGTTTCACTTTATCTATATAAAAAATTAAATAAACATTAGTATAGCTTTTTTTTGTTTGTAATAAAATTGATGTTTAGATAGTTTTAGTTTACAGATAATAAGTAATAAAGTTCTTTTTCTTAAATTATCGCATTGTTCCTCATTTAAATAAAACTTCAACTAACATATACGTTGGTCATATCACAAATTAGCAATCCATAGATAGCACATTATTTGGATCTTTTTAAGGGATTATTTTAATTGATATTTCACTATGTAAAGAAACTATAAAATTTAATGAAGAATAACTAAGTATTAAAATATCTGAATTAAAACGATTTTTGTTTTTCTTATCTTTTCTCAGGTCAGCTTCTCGTAAAAATAGATTCAATAGATTTAGTTAGACAAATAGTGCTAAATTAAGGGTTAACAATGATAAACTCAATAAAATCAGTTTTATGTATTTATTTTTAATAAAAATAAAATAAATCAAAATATAGAGCAACAAAATATTTGCTTTTGTATGTATCAGATAAGAATTTAATTTATCATAAACAGAAAAGCTATAGCTTAATGATTTAACACGTTAAGTGCCGAGCCTCTTTTATTTCACTTTCCATTTATGCCAAATGCCATCCATTAATACCATCTATTAATTTTTAATAAAATATTATATTCTCTACTTACTTTAATTAAATTCCTCAAGAATTGAATTTAAATGAAATGTTTATCCTCGGTACGCAAGGATGGGCACGGTGGCATAACTTAAACAAAAAATTGAGCGTTGGTTCGTAAAGGCCGGCGTGGTGTAAACGAAAAGTCTAGTGTCAGTCCATAGGGACCGGCGTGGCATTTAATGTGTTAAACAGATGTGATATAATATTAATATCATATAAAGCGCATGAATATGTCGATACAATATTAATACAGTATCAGTTATCTCATCAAATTAATTAAATAGCTTTTTTTTTGTAGATATAAGGTTTTTTCAGATTAGATAATTATCTCATAATACTTTAAGGTAAAATTGAGAAGCAATATATTATTTGTATTTGTAAATTTGTTGTTATTGTTGCTTCTTTTCAATTTTTTTTCTGTCAATAACGTAACGATATTGTCATTATTTCTTTACAGTAACGAATTGAATTAAACTGTGTTTTTATTATTATTTTATTTCCTGTTATCTTTGTATTTACTTAATATCGCATTATTTTTTATTAGATAAAAATATTTTAAT